TGCTGCAGTTACCATCAATTTGAAACTGAGTGGTAAGTAGCTTTCAAGGAGTCTATCTTAACTTTGAACAGTCGCTAAGGAACCAGTGGTAAGTCAAGGAGTATCTGTAATGTCTTCATTTTTTGTATGATTCAAGATGAAATATGTAACATAACTGGGGTATATATTTATATACTTAAGGATATATGTATATCTGTAATGGTTTAATTATGCACTATTAACTTTCTGTATAGTATTTTTTTTATTTTTTTTATTTATTATATATTTATATATTATATAAATTATATATAATAAATTATAATATATATATTATATATTTATTATATATTTATTATATATAGTATTTATTATATATTTATTATATATAGTATTTATTTTATTTATTTTGTATAGTACTGGTATTCATGAATGTGCTGTGCCACTTTCCTTCCTACCCTGTCCCACTTAGTGATTGTTACAATTGTATGTTATAGATGACATCTGTTTTTCTTTTCTGGAGCTACTGGGTCTTTTGGTTTAGTTAAGATGTGTTGGAAACCTTTGCTTGGTTGTGTGTTATGGTAATGCCATGTGGTTGTATTAGTTTGTGGTTGTTTCTGAGATTTTTTGATGTATAACAGTGTTATCTTTTTCATAGTTTCTGTTGGTTGTACTGTAGTGGGTTGATAAAGTTATTGTGTGGGTGTCCATTTTATTGGAAGGTGCTTATAGGTTGCCTGTTTCCTTTTTCTGGTGTTCTGGGTTGCTGCAGTGTGTTTGTGCTTATCTGAATAATGTTCTTACACAGCTCTTCTTAAGAGAGGTTGCATTGCTTTTTTGCTACATTTAATTGTTTCTATTTTTCTTTCTATATTATTTTTTTCTGCATTTTCTACTTTTTTTACTGTTTGTAGTTAAGATAAAATAGTTTTTATCTGTTTAACTATAATGTTTGATAAAATCATTATTAAAAAAAAATCACAGGAGAGGCTTCTCTGTTTAGGTACTACTTGAAAAAATTCTTACACAATGAAGTTCAGCTGGAGACTTTTTTCATTTTTCTTGATTGAGATTATTTTCTCTTAAGAAATGCTCTGTTATAACTGGAAACAGCTAATAACTTTGGTTTATCATTTAAAAACCATGGTGGGAAATTTTTGTGTTGAATATTAAAGCAGAGTTATCAGGGTGTGTTATTACCAGACAAGTATATTAATATAAAATAGAACAGCTAAACGGATGTGAGATTTTCATGACCAAACAATTTTAAATGGTTTTCTTGCTAAACAAAGTTATTTAAAAGTAAAAGACTATGTCCAGGCATGACCCTTTTTCTCAGTAGAGGATTGTCTTTCAGTTTTTTCTTGCATGAAGAATTTAATGTTAAGTGTTCACTACCATTCAACTCTATTTAAGTGTTTTATTATAAAGGACACTGTATACTGTATACTGTTCAAAACACTGTATAAGATGTGTTTGAACATCTACAAATTTGTCCTACCAACCTCAGCTCTCTTCCTTCCCAATGTGGTTACCGGTAAGTGTAATACAGGTGCCTCTAATGTCTATTGCAAGTATGCTTTAAAATCCCAGAATGATAATTCTGCCATATTTTCAACAAGCTTTCCTGAGTTTTCCTGAAAAAATGCAAATAGTCCTCTATTTCAAAACAGTGCAATTAGTTTTAAATAACAGGATTCATGGAAGTGATTTGCCACTACCTTCCTCCCCCCCCCAAGATTCATTTTACTTCCTGAAATACTCTACAATACTAGTGGTACCAACTGTTTTGACCCATATAAACATAAAATATTATTTTCTTTATAAAGTTATGAAAGAGCAAAAAATAGAAGAAAGAAGAGATTGCAGAGCCAGTTCCCAAATGTGAAATTTGACTGTTTTTAAAGTTCTGTCACTTTAAAGTATGAAAACTCTTCCCATAGAATTGAGGTATCTAGAAAAGTGAATAGGAAAAATCTGAAAGAAATAAACAACTATAACTATGATTAGCTGAAGTAAGCCACACTCATAAAACCTATAGGAACAATCCATCTTCATAAATATACATTTCTCTTCTGAATCTATCTATTTAAGCCAGCATAAAGAAAGAGAATAATTAGGTTGCCTGGGTGCAGCAAGAAATTACTGTAATGAACTATATTCATTTAAATGTCCATGTGAAAGCACCTTTATGAAGGTTTGAGCACAAGAGTTAGGAAAGCAGAATTTCTGTAAACATCATCTAGGAATTTAAAGAGTGACACATAAGGCAATTCTCTTCTAGACACTTCTACTACAAATTATAAGCTTTTTATATTTACCCAGGATTAACCATATAGGATTCTTGAACTATTTCCTTACCTTAAACAAGGAGGAAAACACATGGAAAGTATAAACAGCACAGGAGCCATCTGAGTCACACATAAGCTGGTTTATATGACTACGCCAGGCTTCTTCTGCAGCATCACAGGCAGTAGGTTGAAATGCAGCCAGGATAGCAGAAAAGAATGGGGAAGGTGGGGGTGAAGCAATGCGGTCTCCTTCACCAAAACTGTAACAAAGAAAATTTCACAATGTTATATAAGGACAGATAATGTGTCTAAAACTCCTTGGTTTTCATATATGTACATGAGTGTAATGATTTGACACGAACTGTTTTTATACGCTATCGTGTAAATTTTTTCAATTTTTCAATTTATCCTGGCATACTTATCATTAAATCTCTTGAAGTTTATATTGCATTTTTAAACATTTGCTCTTAGCTTTATTTTAGGAAATAGCTTTCATTTATTTGAACCATTTCACTGTTTTGCTATGCTGTGAATTTTGTTGTGTGCACTTTTATTTATTAAAAAGAAATATAGATAAAACTGCTCTCATACATAAATATATGCATAAAGAAGCACAACCTTAAATGTATGACCGCTGCCTCAAAGGAAAACAAGACAATAAAAACAAAAGTGTCACCATGACTGTATCTAAGAAGATATTTTCCTTTCAAGTAAATACTGTATGAAGAATATATACCGTATGTGCATATGGAAAGAACTAATCCAAAGTCTGGGGTAAAACATAACTGGTCTGGAGCAGCTGCAAAGGTGCTGGACTAAGAGCAGGAAGGCTGCGTTCAGTTCCACCAATGGCCACAGAATTTCAATGGGCAACTATGGACCATTCACGCTCACAGCCTTAGAGGGAGATTGTTGTTGGGAACAATAAACAAGAATGCTATGTATATTGCCTTGAACAGGAAGGAAGGAAGGAAGGAAGGAGGGAGGGAGGGAGGGAGGGAGGAAGGAAGGAAGGAACCTACCTGGCAAGTGCATATTGGTCTAGAAGTCGGTCACCTTTTTCTTCAGCTTCAGTCATATCTAGACTAAAACTATCACTGTATTCAAATGCTGCTGGGAGTTCATTGGTAGATCCGGATAGATCATCCTCCTGGACTGAGGTATCTTCTTCTTCTTGGGCACCTTCCACCTAAAGGAATCAGTTATAATTATAAATAGTGCAATTTGTAGTACAATTTGAGCTGGATTTTGTTTCAGATGATTTAATGAATGTGTCCCCATGTTACTCCTAGAAACAATATAGTGGATTGCTCTTGCTTTCTTCCAGAATGATTTTTCTTTTAAAGTTCTGAGTCTAGCCTACAACTCTGTTAGCTAAGACAAGTTCTGATTACTTCCAAGCAAAGACAAGATCACTTAGGGGTGCTTAAAAGTCAAATAATATTGCTAATATTGATACAGCCAAATAAAAGTTTATTTATCAAATATGGTCATATGATATGATGTATTTCTTATACAGCTGCACAGAACTAAAATTATTCATTTGCATGAAAATTCCAAACATGAGCAATTAAAATAAAAAAATTATTATGGTGAATCAATTCTTTTCAGTTAGAGCAAAGGAAGGGGTATAAAACATGACAGAGGTATATAAAATCAGGGAAGAAAATACCAATTTTTCAACTGAAAAAAAATCCTATCTTTTTAGTTACAAAATTTACTGAACATTTTTAAAAGAAAGCATTTCCAAGAGAAGAAAACAGAAATCACAAGCACAACCAAGGCAAATTTACTAAGCCCTTAACTTTTACTAACTTTTCATAGTTGTGTCAATGATACGCTTTGTTTCAGGCATTTGAGACTTACAAAACTCTGCATACTGTAATCGGCAATCTCAAAGTAGCCCAAACAAGCAAAAATGGAATTCACTACACTCAGTAGCACAATACTCCCACATTTAGGGGATGGAATAGAATTCATGTTAACTCCCACAGGCCACTTAGTGCACTAATCTATTAAAGCTGTAAAAGTGTAATGCCAACATTTTCCAGTGTAACTTGAGAAGCTTATATATTTAATTTGGTGCACAAATACATCTGACTTTGTTATACAGAACTGTAAAGTGTTATTTTGCAGACCTAAAACTCTTGTCTTTTAGCAAATATGTATCCCAAACTCGCCATTCCAGCCACTGTTTCTTAAATTTTAAATTAATTCACCTTTGACTCTTCAGAGACCTGGAGATTATTCATTTCTGGCAAAGATGTGTTAAAACTAGAGGTTCTTGAACTGAAAGGAGGTGGACCGGTTGCTGCTGCCTCACATGGTGTGGAAAGGGCATCAATGTGATTTGTGTCTTCAGAAGGGGAAAGTGTCATGATCTGTTAAAAAAGAGAGAAAGAGCACATTCCTCTGGGTGATGCTTCTGCTTAGGCCAAAGCACTGAGTGAGTACTGCCCAAAGATTGCTCCTTTATCCATCCCATACAAGCCTGAGTAAGTGGGAGAGAGCTGACATCATTTTCCCACAAACAGTCTTTCTGAAACTATTTATGATTTTTTTCTGGAGAAAATAATACACTTAATAAATGTATTAATTTCATAATCACATCTTTAAAAATAAATGCTGATTCCTTGTGAAGTTTTTTCGTTTTTTCTTGTAACATTCTACTAAAAAGAGTGAGATGAACAATTCAATCAAATGTGACATGTAACGTGTCACAGAAAACAGTACCTCTTATCAAATATGAGAGTATCTGGCAACTTTTGAAAATTGGATGTTTTTTTTCATATTTGTTGACTCTCAAAAGGTGAAGCAATTCAGAACATACTCAGTTAAAGGTTCTGACATCCAATTTCATTTGAAATGAATTCAAATATCCATCTTTCCTCATTTTTAAATGTAGTTTACTTTCTAGCAGCTTAACTTTAACTACTTACAAGTTCTGATTGTTCCAAGATTTGGCTTGTTGTAAGGTCCTCCTCTTCCGATGATTCATCAGAATCTTCATGGTTGATTTTGTTTAGGCTGGGAATACTTCCTGAAAGCTGGCTTTCTTCCAGAAGCTGCATATCACACTTGTCCAGACTGTCAAGAGAACGCCTACGAACTCCCCAGTTGAAATTGTCCATGCTTTCACCCTGCAATCATAGCAGTGGTTTATTTTCTCTGCTACTATACAACATATATATATATATATTTGTTGTATATATATATCTATCTATATATTTCTATATATTCAGAAATATAAAATCATAGCTATTTACAGAGGAAAACTTAATAATATTATGATTGTCTCCTCTAAAAATTCTGCTATTTTCAAAACTTTAATTTTCAGAATGTTGGAATGATGAAATTCTATTTATTTTCATATGACTGACAATGAAGACTAAAATTTTAAAATTATGAGACACCCTTACACTGTACAAAGTTAGTAAGAGCAATATCTATTATGAGGGATTTCTATATATATGAAATTATTTGTTCATGCAGTTGAAAAAAGTATGTTGAATATCAGTCTATCTATCTATCTATCTATCTATCTATCTATCTATCTATCTATCTATCTATCTATCTATCTATCTATCTATCTATCTATCTATCTATCTATCTATCTATCTATCTAGTCTATCTATCTACAATGTTGAAGATCAGAATTAAAATAAAATGTTACACTCTCAATTTAGCATGCATAATGCAATATTCCAAAATCAAAAGAGCCTTTATTTTTAATCCTGATTTTCTGAAAAAAACTCCTTAAATTATTTTATGTGTAAAAAACAGACAAGCATTTATTTAATAATAGTTTAGTTTTTTTAAAACGTGTTTTTTGTTTACATTTTAAATTTAGTTAACATTTTACAGTGCAATCTTACACTTGCTTCCATAGAAACAAGTTTTACAGGATTTAATTGGGCTGAACTGTTAATAGATTATTTTTTTTCAGTCATTAATGTATTGACAGGTTTGCTTACTTTTAGAAATGAAACATGGGTCTGTATCACTGAAAACACTGAAGATCTTTACAGTTAGCTTAAAACATGAATGAATTTGATTAATGGCATGTACTCCAATTCTCCTTGCACTTTTTCCATTTGTGGCACAGTCTAACATTAATAGACGGCTATATGTGGTCGCTAGGAGTCAAAAACAACTTGATGTCACATAATCTCATTATTTGTGCAAGTGAATTTAAGGTTTACTTTTTGGGGGAGCCCCAATTGGAAAGCAACATTTTATAAGATTGTAAACTGTGCAGATCTAACAGTGTGGAATTCCTTATAGCATTCATTACAATAATAAAAGAAAAATGAAAATGAAAAGGTTATACTTAGCTACCTTATTGCTATAAATATTTTCCTCCCGCCAAATATTTGACAATATATCACAAAATATATTGCTTCTCTTGGTATTCTCAGAATTTCTATCACAGGAATAACATTTGACAGGATCTCCTAGGCAATTGTGCAAAACTCCCAAGGATCCCTGAAGTGGGGAGACAGTTCTGGAAAGTGCAAACACTACCTTTCCTACCACCTCTCATAATAATTATGCAAGAATTAAGTTATACATAATTTATTGTTTTACAAATATCCTGTCATATTTAAACCACAACCAGAATAAGTGGGCAAAATTTGATCTTGTCAAACTCATGATTTGTAGACTTCACAATGGATGAGAACTGTGGTCTTATTGTGGATATTGCAGAAAACTTGAAACATTTTCCTTTGAATTCTAAAACATTTCTAAACCCGTGCATAAGTATAAAACTTTCATACATGTAAACAAGCATACACATACTGAAACAGCAGTTCAGTAAATATTATAGGCTACAAACAATGCATTACATTTACTAGCACATGAGTTCAAATAGCATTAGCTTACCTGAAGTTCCTGAATAGCAGATATAACAAATAGGAAACAAATAAAGAAAAGCTTGTGTAAACATATTTGATTTAAATATACTTACAGTCATTACTGCAGCTGACCAATTTATTCCTGCATTTCATTCTTAAAAGCTTAAAATACTGTAACAGTAGTTTCAAAAACAAAATACTAAATCACTTTTCTCTTAACCCAACTAAATTAAATTCATATTCACATAAAATTAAGCTTAAAAAGTAGAGAGAAAATCTAGAACAGGTTTAATTTGCTGACATTAATTCATTTCTATATCTTGTAAAATCAGATCAACTAAAGCTACAATAAGAAAATGAGCCAAATTCTATACCCTAATCAGGGAGGAAGACCTAATGCACTCAGAGGGACATGAAGGAGACATGCGTAGGATTTTCTTGAAAATCAAAACACAGTTACCTTCTTCCCTGAGCCAGAATCTGCTTTTTATTTTTTATTTGTTAAGGGCAAAGAAGTTAGAGTCAATAACAGGAAACATATTACAATACCACCTAGCAACATTGCTGTTGTTACAGGAACATGTTTTCCATTATATGTACATTCCACTTTGTATCCTGACAGCTACTGTCCCCAGTTGAACTATAGGCCCAATATTTAGACTATCTAATTATCAATATATCAATATCTCATATTGATAACTGTTGGAAAGAAATGTAGAATTTTAGGAATTATGCAGCAGATTTGGCTCTGAGTTTTGCTATCAAAAGATGAAAAGCTGTACCATAATTCCTGTTCTAATTCCAGATAAATTCTTTTCAACTTCTTGCATTTATTTTAGCTATAAAACGTTATTATTACTCCAGCAAATTTATTTTCTTTAGAATGCTTTGTTTAAATGTTCCAAATTTAAACATAGCACAGGGCAAAAGTTTATTTTTGTTTCGATGGAATTTAAGCTGAATAGTGTAATTCAAAATCAAACAGCTCGGTAGTGATGGATGTGCTTCAGATCCTGCTAAGTAACTAGTAGTAGATGCTCCCTTTTTAGCAAAGCATCCTCTCATCATAGACATTAACAATCCTGCTGAACAAGTTTGTGAACAGATCAAGATGCCAAATTGTTACTACTATTTATCCTGTCTCTCACCAGCCTCTTCAGGACAGCCAAAATCTGACCTGTTATATAGGGGATATTTATCTTTAATGTGGCAAGAAGATTTATTTACAGGATTGAGGTGAGGCTCACAAGTGATATGATCTTCCCTAAATTATTCCTTATTTTATGAATCTCTTCCATTTCCTACATTCACTGCCTGTTTTTCTTTGCAGAAGGGAATGGGGCAAGATATTGTCAGAACACTAAGCAGCATTCTTTAGCACCCAATGCTGATCTTTACTCTAGTTAACCAGAAACAATTATTTCTAGAGGGAAGGGATCCCTATTAACTATAAAAATATTATTTAGACACAAACAAGACCATGCAGCTTAAATTTTGCAAGCAATCTGCTAGCAGGCCTTTTGAGCAACTTCAGTTAAAACGGACAGGCTTTTACCTGCTAAGACATAATTGCAGCTCCCGTTTTTCTTCTACAGAACACCAGGCTTTCTAAGTGCACTATCTTAAGGCAATGGAAGCATTAAAGATTTACACAGAGAAAGCTTTAGCTTTAGCTTTCTGGAAAGTCATTGATGAAATTGCCTGCTTTTAAAATTGTTGTGCAATGGGTTTATGAGGCATGTATTCAGATCATCAATCAGCATGTCAGGCAGATGGTTAAGAATGGTTAAAGTATTGTGTTTTATTTTAATGTATGGAAAACAAACTTTTAGCTTTAATTTTAGTATTAAAGTAGTACATTAAGCTCTAACTTTATGCTAAGATTTCCACACTGCTGAGTGTTATGTCCTTATGTGAAAAACGTTCTGAAAATGTTCATGCAAAATCAAGAATTATAGCTATTCAGGTATACGCTTGCTAAAATATAAACAGAACATTATTACTGCTATGAAGGGCAAATATGGGGCTTAATCTATGATAGGAGTAAAGATTTGTCAAAAAGAAAGTACCGTACCTCACCATCTTCTAATTCCACATCTAGGAAATCAAAATCTCTAAAGACTCGGAACTGTTGCTCACTGTTGGAATCATCCATATTCTCTTGTTCACGTTGTCCGTCTTCTGAAGCTACTAGACTAGTTTGGTGCTCAATCAGATCCAAATCACCACAGGAAGAAAAAATGACCTAAACATTGAAAAGGAATGACTTTCTTTTAAAAACTCTTCTATGGTTCCTTCTACTAGCCTTGGACTAATCAGAAACAGTATTTTCAGTACACACCTAATTCCTTCAGAGGATATTTTTAGAAGACTCCTTTTTATTATTAATGTTGGCTAGGTGCCTTCAGATTAAATTTGAACAAAGATACAACTCTGAATTGTAGAAACCCATCCAATTACTTCCTAATGGCTGCAGACCAATGCAGCCTTAGTTTATCCAAACATTTATGGAAAAAAAGATGCAACTGCAAAAATAGGCATTCAAGGAGCTTCATAAAATCCACCACTCCCCACAGTTGTTCAAGTTAAAACATTTGAATTACTTAGAATGCATTTTAATTTTGCTGACCTAGTTTTTAAATTTAATTTTATTTGCAGAAAAATGCAGAGTTGCTTCTTGGTAGACTGATCATAAGCTATCAGCAAATAAGCCAATTGAAAAAAATAGTATGTACTACCTATTATTTTACTAAAATGCAACTAGTCTAGATGCTGATACTGGATATTCCCTCCAGCAGGAATTTTGAGATAATACAATCTCACTACTGTATAATTCCTGAAACAAAAAAATAAACCCCAGCTCAAAAACTGGGCAATCCCAATATTTCAGAAATTTTCATTTTTACTATTTCATTTACTAGAAATAATATAGATTTGCATTTTAAAAATAAATGGCATATAGAGATCTCAAAGGAAGTGTCAGTATAAAGTATCATTCTCAACACTGCTGTTATATGGCTAGAGCACTTCTCGAGACGACCGTACATTTTATACAATGTCAGGTGTATTTCACGTAATAATAAGATCACCACTACTGCCGTATTCAGAGGTGAGAGTATCGGAAGGTAATCTCTATTCGAGTGTTGACCGTGGAATCGGTTTCGAACAGTTTTCGGTTGAACAGGAGGTAGACGTTTAGGTCGTCCTCGGTACTTAAGTCCTCCTGATACAGAGACAAATGAAAGACAGTATCTGAAACTGAAGATATAAATTAATTGTGCATAAATGGTATAAGAAGAAATATGAAACTTACTGAGGGGTTTTTGCTCAGACCAACCTCTTGACCACAAAGACTAAGAACATGCACCAACTTTTCTTTTGTTCTTTTCTTTAAAAAAATAAAGGTGAAAGAAAAGGAGACATTTTAAAAATAATAATGATACACATATGAATTTTTAATAAGAGAAGAAATAGGAATGTTTGTAAAGAAATCCATAACTTCAGCTCTAATTCTTGATAATTTTCATTAATTAATTATCATAATTTAATCTGGCAAAATATTGCCTTGGTATTATTTGGACTCTCTATATTTCAATATTTGTTAAACAATATTTCTGTATTTCTGAACAACAACCTAAATTAATGGAACAAACCACCATTACAGAAAATCAGTAAGAATTTTACCTGCGAATACTGAGGTCTCTTCCAACTAACAGGCACAAGGACATTGGAATTAGACCCAGAAGATGTTGAAGACGTGCTACGTGTGACAGGCATTATTCTATGTTTTCCATCACGACCCAAAGAAGTCTGCAGCTCATCATATCGCTTGCCAATAATTGGTGTCTTAAAGTAAAACATCAATAAAAGTTTAAAATTTACATATATTATCCCCACAGTGCATATAGCAACTCTGACTAGTAGATGGTTTTCAAATTCAGAAATTCTATTCTTTGAAATTCTTGATTTCAACAATTGAATAAATAGTATGAGGCAGTAGATTAATTTTATATGTATAGCATATGATTTATCTTTGATCTGCACATGATCATATTCATTAAACTTTGGCTAAATGGCCTATTCGGCTTAAACCATTAATTTGTAATATTAGTTTGTAATAGGAAGACTGGTAGTGCAGTGGTTAAAGTGCAGTATTGCAGGCAAACTCAGCTCATAGCCCTCAGCCAGGAGTTCGATCCTGACAGGGCTCAAGGCTGACGCAGCCTTCCATCCTTCCAAGGTTGGTAAAATGAGGACAGAGATTGTTAGGGGCAATATGCAACTAATGCTTACATTGTAAACCTCCCAGAGAAAGCTATAAAGAGCTGTGGGGCAGTATATAACCCAGGGGTAGTCACCCTTGGCTCTTTTATGACTCGTGGACTTCAACTCCCAGAATTCCTGAGCCAGCTAAGCTAAGAATTGAAGTCCACGAGTCATAAAAGAGCCAAGGTTGACTACCCCTGATATAACCCTAAATGCTATTGCTATTGCTATCTTAATTATGGTAAATACAGTACCTCAGAAATATCAAACTGGAACTCTAAAGTTTTTCCAGGCAATTCCTTGGATGCATTATTCCAGATGCAATGTATTTCCATTTTTGAAATATCACTATGCTGATAAGAAGGTAGAACCAGGCTTGCTGAGCGTGCAACCACCAATTTAAGTATATTGAGGGCTTCTCGCCAGTGAATGCTCTGTAAACAAATATTTGCACATACAATCATACGCATTGAACAAAAATATATTTGTAACATTAAACACATCAGAGACTGATTGTACTGAACAACATAGCAAATCTGAGTACTCTGTAATAATAATATTTTGAAATATTCCATGTTAAAAACCATATACTAAATACAAGAAGAAAATGTTAATAATATTACAAAATATTATTAAGGCTTCTTATTACGCTTCTACTTGGCACAACATTTGACATCTTGGCATCTTTTACGTTTTCTAAACACAATTACTACTTTAAAAGAAAGCAAGATAATATTGGATGTTTTGAAAAGATTCCAGATTTACTTTATTTTCTAAAACAATAAAAAATAGTAAATGTTCTATTGTACATTAATTATTGATTAGAGTTTATTATTTTTGTACAATAACAAGTTTAAAATAGCCAATTGAGTGTAGTGATGTCTTTGCCGATTGGTTCTATTTTCTGTTTCCTTTTATTTTATCATTATTTACCTATATCAGACACTTTTACCAGGCCAATTTAACATATTTATTTACTGGAAACTTTGCTTTTAACAATTCTTGAATAAAGTAATTATAATAAAAAACAACATCATTTTACTAAGCCATCACACAGAGATTAATATGTTATTTGCCCATAATTAATACCTGTCATTTACTGTACAATTTATTGCCATAGTTGCCCATTCTTTTGTTCTTAACCTGCTTGCAGCTTGTACAAACCACACAACTTGCTACATTGCAAAGTTATCAGACTCTGCTAGCAGGAAACAATTTTGCTTTGTGAAGTTTAATTACCCTTCTGTAGAGGAACAATTTAATTGGTGCAGAATTTTGTATTCAGTCCCACAACGTACCTGCAGATTTGATTACAGTGTGATAACTTCTGACAAACATTACAATACCAAGAGAGAAGTTGGG